TTTTTTCCCCTGAGATACAGAAGCACCCTGGGACCCAATAGACCACTCTGGTGAAGGTGTTGGACTGGCACTGGAAAGACCAGATTCATCCACAGCCATGGAAGGTCCCAGTAGACTTTGAGCCAGGACATCTTTCTCAGCCCAACCTACTTCACCGGGTTCTCTCATTGTGGGAAAAAATAGGAGGAAGAAGTACCTTGAGCTCCTGAATGACGAAGGAAGCAAATCTAACAAATAAATAAAGATCCATAATTGTGGGATATGCAAGAATCAGACATGCTGGTTTTCCTCTTCCAGTATCTTTTCCAAGTCAGATGTGAAAGAGCCTACATTCCCCAAAGATCTAGAACCTGCAGGAATGTACAGTCCTGAGTTGAGGTCCCATAATAAATAGAGACCCTGGAACTCTCAAAAAACGTTCAATATTTGGTGACTACAGCTTCAGTTGGTGATCAGAAAATGGGAATGAATCCTCAAAGACATTTCATTTCAGTGTTGTCTGATCACCAGGCAACAAGTGATGTGCAACAGTATGTTGTTCATTCGATTCATAGGTGAACTAGTGCATTTATTTTATAAGGCACCAAAATCTTACTTTTTTCAAACTATGAAAAAATCAGCAGAGTCGGCAGTATTATTGCATAAGTAATATTGCAGGTGTGAACATTCTAGTCTGGTTTGTACCGCTCATTTTTCTTTCATGCACTTGGAATATTTTCAGTACAGCTAACCTTACAAACAGTCCATATCTATGTTAGTCTCAAAACAATTTCTATGGATGTACTGCACCAAATAGTGGTCAGAAATATTGTGCATGACTCCAGTGTCCACTGAAGATCATGTCAAGGTATTTGCCCTCAATTCAGTTATATACTGTAGATATAGTATTGTTTCCCTAAGTTGGTACCTTTGGATTATCTCAAGCCTTCTTTCAAAATCATCTAACAGGTAGGGCCAAACAAAGGTGTAAGAAACCATCTTGCTTCCTTCAAAATCCTGTTTATGTTCACTGATGAAATTCTTCTTTTTGCTATTGTTCTTTCATATTTTGTTCCAATGCTCATATCAACGTTCAAGAGCTTTCCTTCTTTCTGTTTTGCACTTCTCAAAATTCCAAAATATTAACACTCTAACCTTGCATTATGCAATTGGGAACGCTCATCATGATCACCCTCCCACACGTCACAAAATTGTTTAAATCACATGATCTTTCTGTAGATATCCCCATGTTTATCATTGACATCTATAAGAGAAAAGCTTCACTACTTTTCTCCTGCTGAACAAGAAGGAAAAACTGAGCTCCCAACTAATTAATTAATTAAATAAATAAATAAAAAGCTGACCATGGACATCTCTTAAAAAAGTGAAAAAAAGTTTCCTCCATCTACATCCCATCTAAATTTCCATGTCCACTCTGTACAATTCATATTTCTATAATTATCTTGCTTTTTTGCTTGCTATTTCTTTAATTATCTTGCATCAATGTCAAACGCCACAGCAATACTATCAATCTTAAATCACATTTTATAGCTATGTGCAAATGAAGCATGTTGATCTGATTAAAGTTTTTATAGAAACTTTGCTATTAGTTTATATGCCTACGCTGTATTTTAAAAAAGCAAGTTGCGTTATTGGAAAGAGAAAATAATTTCCAGCTTTAAAAAAAAAAAAAAAAAAGACTCTAAAAATTTCAGTCAAACTCTAAATAATTGGGGCTGCAGTCCTACATCCCGGGACATACTGCTGCCAGAATGTAGACATGGCAACTTCCACAGCAAACTGTGATGTCAAAATGATGTCTGTCATGATGTCATCACACAAGGGACTCAACCTATTACTTGCATCACAACCTCTGACACAAGTATGTAAATCCAATCCTTTGTGCCATGACATCGTGGTCCTGCATAAATGCTTGGGTGTAGATGTAACTTAAGTGGGACATGATTTTCCTTCCTACATTGGGAAAGAACTCATAAAAGAGAGGAAAATAGAGAATCTCCAGAAGAAGAAAATATCTTCTCGGGGTTGAACTGTGGAGTCCTTGGTGTTCTCTGAGCTTGGTTGTTTTCTTGCAGATGTTTCATTACCTGGCTAGGTAATATCTTCAGTGCTAGTGAGCGTTGTGTTTG